AAGCAGTGGTATCAACGCAGAGTACTGGCGCGCGCCCCCCCCCCGAGAACGGGTCGCGAAATGTTTGAAAGTTACTTACATGCGTTATAAAAATGTGCAAATGACTTGTTTATTTTTGTAAACAATTTAAAATAATTTTTAAAATTTTTTAAAAATTCAAATTAGCCTTATAAAAAATTTTTTTTCGGGGGCGTGGCTGACGCCACGCCCCCTTTTTTCAGATTTTAGGGGTTGGGGGCCCGCAGAATTGTTGAGAAGCCCCCCTAAAAATTTTTCGGAGTGCGTGGCCAACGCCACGCACCTTCATTTAAAAATTTTTTTTTTGCCGCGCCCCCCCCCCGAGCCGAAATCCTGGGTACGCCACTGGTAGACAGTATTCCGAAATTTTTTTTGATATGCTTCCCAGAACTTTCGCGGACCATAAGTCCGACGTCTTAGGAAAAGGGGGCGTGGCTCCCCCCTCCCCCTAGAGTTGTTATAAGGCTGAATTTGATTTTAATTTTCTCAAAAATATTTTAGTTATTTACTGGTATGAACAAGTCACTTGCACATTTTTGTAACTCATGTAAGCACTTCCAGGAATTTCGCAACCCATTCTCGAGGTCGGGGACCTCCTCGCTCTCTCTCCCCCCCCCCCCCAGTACCCCACTGGTACTTAAGTATTTGCAAAGAACCCCATTTGACACATCTTTTACCTTTGGCTACTTACAGACACACCATTGTTGTCTAATCATTGTTAATAAATTTGTTTACTGCCATACATAGCATCAAAGATTCTTTTGAAAGGAGTTTTTCATGTACAGGCAATTCGTAGCACGCAAAGACTGCGGGCGTATCGACGTTGGCAGGTGCCAGAACTACGCGATACAAATTTGGTGTGCGCATGCGCGTTGGGGAACTTGAACTATGGCCCAAAAATTTATGAAATCTTGTGTGAATGAAAGCTGTGCCGAACTTTTTTCTGAATTAGCTGACACCGTGCCAGCTGAGCTGGCACCGACCCTTTGCTCACATAAGTTTTCATACTTTTCTGCATGAGTTGTATCTGCACTGTAAAAGTTTACATACGGAGCAAAAACAATTTCATAATGTTTTGTTCTAGGCGTTTTTATAGCCATCTGAAAAATTTCCCGGTCCTGCTCCGCACTCTAAAAATCTGCTCCAATCACAAAGCGCTCCCTACGCAAATGCAAAACACGTCAAAGGGGACTTCGTAGGAAACTTTTGAGATCAAAGAGGACTTCATTTTAGAATTTCCCTGGTGCCAGCTCGTGCCGAGCCCTGATCCCACGGCAGAGGTTGCAGTACCGTGGTACTTTCTGTCTAGCAAACCACATATAATCGGGCAATTTAGACGCCTTGTATACAATTACCACTGACAAGAACGTTCGGTCTGAAGCTTCTAAGTAAGTTACGAGTTCATCATCAACGCTTCTCTAAGCTATTGACACGTTTTTACATCTTGAGAGGCCATATCACACAGTAGTTATTTGGTTCAGGTGCTCATACATTACGCGAACAATAGCATAGTTTGCCATAGATAGAAAAATACGCAAATAACACAACAGATATCACAACCCATCAGTGGCGTACACAGGATTTCGGCTCGGGGGGGGGGCGCGACAGAAATTTTTTGCACTCCAAAAATTTTTGGGGTGCTCCTAAGAACTTTTGCGGGTCCCCGACCCCTAAAATTCGGGAAAAAGGGGGCGTGGCGTCAGCCGTCGAAAAAAAATTTTTTACAAGGCTAATTAGAATTTTTAAAAATTTTTAAAAATTATTATAATTATTTACAAAAATAAACAAGTCACTTGCACATTTTTATAACCCATATAAGTAGCTTTCAAAAATTTCGCGAACCCATTCTCGGGGGGGGCGCCCTCCCCCCCCCCCGCCCCGCCCCCCCCCCCTCGGTACGCCACTGCAACCCATACATCGTCGCTTTTGAGACTGCCCATGCTGACTTGTAAATTTTGACGCACATTTCATGTTGAATATGCCTTCAAAAGGATCTTTCGGACCATTTTCTGTTTCTGCACTTTCAAACGAGTTCAAAGCCAACTGAATTATTCCATCGAAAGGTGTGAAAACTGGAAACTGGAAATGGATGAAAAAACTGGAAATGGATGAATCGAGTGGATCAATAAGGCGTATGCTTCATCGGAAGATATGCAGTGCAGAAATAGCACTTTGACTTTTGCCTATTCCCATGTGCTTTCATAGGGTGTGTTAAGCAGTGTCCGCGCAAAAAGTCGATTTTGGAGTTTTGTGCTTACCTCGCCTATTCGCTATGCTGTATCCGAAAACCCACACTGGCGAGCGCTTAAGCGATGAAAAACGGTAACGCAGGAAGAAAATCGGCAGGTGGGCGAGGTCTTCTCATATGGGAGGGCGGTTAGGATCCGCTTTTTCTCCAGGCGCCCCCGTGGGAGGTAATATTCACTTCGCGCCTACCTCGCTCCTGCGTCGCACCTATCTCGCACATTCCTGCATTAGTCTCCTCCGGATTCCTGTCTTGTTTCTCCTGGCATTATTTAGAAAGGTCAGCACATAAGCGACGAGTAGATGAGTTCCAGAAAAAAGGAAAGTGCTATGAAACCAGACATCAAAATAAAGAGACAGATAAGAAAAGTGCTTGTGACCGTGGACATTGAAGAAGTAGTAGGTGAGATGTTAGGGGCTTAAACGCTAACTAAATGTTCAATCAATTTACAAGACTCTTCTGGAAAGTTTATGCATGAAAAGTACAGATTAAAAAGATTTGTGATCAGTTTCTTTCAGAGAAGATGCGCACAAAAAAGAAAATTGACAAACATAGCAATAAGACCGAACAAGAATAATGAATGGCAAATTTTGCTGCAAATCTAATTTTTTGATTAACATACCCTTTTTGAAGATTCAATGCTCATAAGATCAGTTGTAGTTCAAATGGAGAGCTAATATACGAAAAATGATAACTCCGAAGTGTTTTCCGGAGCCGTACGTTTTTAAAAATATCTAACCCGTCGCCCTCTTAAAAAACCATCACCAGCTTTTATTCACTCTCACCTACCACATCTTCAATGAGCATGATCAGAAGCATTTTTCCACAGCATTTTCGTTATTTTTTGGCATCATTTACTCGTCACTTATGCAATCCCTTTTTGATTATGCTATGAGAAACAAGGAGGTTATCCGGAGGGGAACTAATGCAGGAATGTGCGAGATAGGTGCGACGTAGGCGCGAAAATGATAATTACCTCCCATGGGCGCGCCTGGAGAAGAAGCGGCAGGCCTTTGGAGGATCCTGACACGCCGCCTCCCATATGCGAGGTTAATTTCTCAGCTTTTGGAGCGATTTTCTCGCTGCCGCTAGTCGTCCTAACATCGTCGCCAAAAGCGAACTCGTAACTTGAAGGCGGGATCGAGAAGATCGCTAGACGAGTGACTTCAGAGATGGGAGCAGGGTCAAGCGTGTGATGCGACTGTCGCAACGGGGGGTCGTAAAGGGGGGCCTACGGTGAGGGGGGGGGGTCGTAAGAGGGGGTAGTTTGGATAAAAAACCGTACGATTAAAAGCAAATCAAATAGCAAGTAATTATTACATGTTCTTAACAATAAATCCATGGAAAGCCGTGTACCAATGTATCAAATAAAAACGAGTGGAACAATAATTTGAAAACATTTGCAAGCGTAGAAATACGCTTCATTTGCTGCACTTTTAAAAGATTATGACTTAGTTCTTTTTTTATGGGAATCGCAATTTCTCCCGCAAAATATTGTCTCAAACGGGGATCGAACCCTGCTGGCATGACTAAAATCCAAAAAACAAACACTTTCAGAAGCTCGAATGCTACTAAAGGCATGTATGTGTGATAAAGATGTTGGATGTACCGATTGGTATAGACATCCCGCTTCCGAAGGCTCACTAAAGACTCGCACACTCGACAAAAGCGCACATGTAGATCAACCATGACAATCAATAATTCGTAAATCTTTTTGTAATGTCATTTATGCGGTACTTACAATTTATATGTACTTTAGATAAGCCCTGCTACTGCTGTGCGAAATCTGGTGTTATTTTATAAACTGCGGATTTTCTTATGATTTTATGTATGGTAGCAAAAAATGGGAAAAGGGGGGGGGTCGTATCTGCGCCTGATTTGAATTTCTCCGAGCTATTGAAGCTTTTTAGCTGCAAACTTGCTGTAATACGAGGCCATCCTCCTACTTTCCCTCATAAAAATTGCAGCTGTTTTATAACTTCTCTGGTAAGTTACAAAATTTTAAGCTCAAAAATCCCAGTTTTTGCTTTTTAGGATCGCATCTAAATTTGCGAGAGCCTGATCTAAATTTTTTCGAGCTCACTGCTCCTCAAAAGCTGAGACTTTTTCTGTAGATAGCGTGGGCACTATGCTACAGAACCTGTGCTTTGCAGCCTCTCAGTCTTTTCCTGGCCTTAGTTACGAATTTTTAAACTACCGTGGCTCATGCACGTTTGTGACGTCGTTCTGGACGAGGCTCAAGCGGTTTTTTTTTTTCGCGAGAGAAACTGTGAAAGAGGTAGGAAGTAAGCTTCTTAGTCGAAAACATCTTTTGTAGTTCAAGAATGGTATTTTGTTCTCCGTGTAAAAATTTGTGTCGCATACGGGAATCGAATCTGCTGGCCTGAAGTATGCCTGAAAATTCGAAAGTAAACTTGCAGAACCTCAAACATCATTGAAGGTGTGTATATGTGCTAGAGATGCTGGGCGCACCCATTGGCCTAGAAATTCTGCTTCTGGAACCTCACTGAAGTTCTCACGCAGGTGTTTTTTGAGATTGACATTCGTTTATGCAGGTTACCGCGAGAAATGTGGGCAGGAGAGGTAAGGGGGATAGATGGGGGAGGGGAAGGGAGGGGGGGGGTCGTAATGAGGGTCCACGATCGCATCAACACGCTTGACCCTGGATGGGAGGGACCCGCTCACCTGCAGATTCCCCTCTAGCACTAGAGCTCCTTCTCGCCCTTTTCGCTCTCTTTAGTGCGGGTTTTTAGCATAGCGCATAGACTCAGATAAGCGATACACAGCGCACACAGTCATGAGCGCAGGGTCCCGCAACGGCTCTGCGTCTCCCTTTCATGCATTTCGTACTCGTCCGGCGTACCGTAAATCCGGGTCACTTTGGGGGGGGGGGGTTGTAGACTTTAGACCCGCTTCGCGCTGCAAACTCTGTCGTCGCTTAGTTAGGGGGTCTACTACTACATTACAACCAGAGCCAGGTACCCCCAGTCTGTTGGGACGCTGCCATTGAAGGCAGTGTCGCGACCAGGTTGGGGGTTTCAGGATTTCACTATCGCGCAAAAGTAGCCACTCTGACATATCCTCTAGCCTAGCACATTTCGTGGGACCGGAAGCAGGAAAAGCTTTGGAAGTTGGGAATTACTCCACGATCGGATGACCCCTCCCACCGAGGGATTGCTAGAATGGGGTAGAGGAACGAAAGCCGCCAGTTCGGGCTGCCTCCGCTGGCTACCGGTCCTGGAACGACATGCAACAACACCGCAAAAGGACCATTTGGCCGCGAAAGGCATCTCAAACTGGCTGCCTTCGTTCCCCCTAAGGCTGCGTTCATACTGATCCCGAAGTCCGGGAACAGTTCCAGCACAGCGTTTGAAATGAGCGCTGTGCTGAAACTGTTCCCGGATTTCGAAATCAGTCTGAACGCAGCCTAACCGCTGGGGTGCGGGTGGAGGACTATATCGTCTGCGCCCCAGAGAGGTTCCCATAGGTAGGTACCACGTCATCTCGCTGCCTTTCGCACTTTTGAACGTGTTAACTTCGGGCACTTCCGTTGAAATCTCAGGAGAAACGTGTCAAAAAGAGCGAAAGGCAGCCGTACCACGTCAGCACGCTGGTTCACATGGGAACCTCTCTGGGGCGCAGACGGTATGTCGCCGAATGTGGAAGAGTCCCGCGCTGATTTCCTGCAGGAACGCATGTCCACGCATACAAAAGGATGCGTATTTGTCGCAGATGCTCAGACAATCGATCGGACCCCTCCGCCGGACCCTCGGAAACTGCCAGGGTCGCGCCGGACCCAGTTGACCAATGAGAGAAGGGCAAATGGGCGGTCCATCGCGGTGGCATCACTGGCAGGCAAATGGGAGGCTTCTCCGGCCCTGCTGCAAAGTTCCGCCATTTCTCCGGCGCGACTCTGCCAGATTTGACGGACTCCGCGCCGCAGAGGTCTGCGCGGCGCGTGTCCGCCAAATTTGGAAGACACGCGCCGGAGAAAATCGGAGGGGTCCGGAGCAGAAATGGGAGGTATCCGGAGCAGAAAATGGGGGGTATCCGGAGCAGAAGATGGGAGGTATCCGGAGCAGAAGATGGGAGGTCTCCGGAGCAGAAGATGGGGGGTATCCGCCGGAGAAATGGGAGGTATCCGGAGCAGGCTGCGTATCGATTTGGCGCGTAGCAAGCAAACGTCTAACTCCACGGTGATGAGTCCTCTGTTTACGCTCTTTGTCCATATTTTAGTCGCCGTTTATTTGATTCTGTTGTTTTTGCGCGTTTCTTTACCGTTTTTTCCTTTTCCGCGTTGCTCTTCGTCGCGTTGGCGTTTATGTTGCTGTAAGTTCCTCGTTTTCAGGTTTATGTTTGAAATTTTCGTGCGGTTGCACTCAATCACCTTCAGTGTTTGGCTCTTTCCGACTTGCTGAGACATCGTAGACTATTGATGGAGTGGTTTTTGTGATTAATTCTGGATTTTCGAAACAATGAGGTTAGTTGCGCAACTATCTAGTGTTGTTGTGATGAAAGTATCGTCTAAATAATCCGTTTATTGCTATAGTGTGGACCCCGGCCAGGTTCCCATAGGTACCTCCGCGGCGCGCCCGCAGCGCATGCCTTCAGTGCGCTTTTCGTTTCGGCTCTGAAGGGATTTCTTTCAATTTCCTCTTTCAAGTGTGTTTGTTCTCTTCTGTAATCTCTACTTTAGATGTAAACGACACACGTCAACTGCTGGTGATGGATTTTTACGAGTCTTGACAGTCTTGCAAGCATTTGTTTCGAAAATCTTGTTTTTTTCTCAATAGTGAAGATTTCGGTGTAGTTCAGAGACATCTCTCCAAATGTTCAGAATAAGTGTATATGCAGTTGATTTTGTGGAGTGTAGATGCTTCTAGCCTTTTGTTACACCATCAGAGCTTTGCAATCGTGCTCTTGAGCTCAAACTTTCTGGGTTTTTTTATGAACAGAAGGAAGACTTTTCAGAATTGTTCTTCGACTTTTCCTGTTACTTCTATCATCCATCGCTGGTAGTGTCATACACTACTAGCGATGGATAATAGAAGATTCCAGTTATTTATGAGATTGACTGGAATCTGAGCGCTAGTAGTAGAAGTTGTGAAGGTTCTCCTATTGCCTTGGCTTTTCTCGTGTTCGGATTAGAGGCCTCCACATCTCATTTCACTCCTGTTTTCGGTTATAATGCTTTTTTGTTCGTAAGTGAAATGAGAAGCGTTCAAGTCGGGCGTGATACCACTGCTTGCCGCGCTAGTACCTGAAGCTGGCCGGGGTCCACACTATCTCTCTCGTACGTATGCTTACCAAGTCGATCGACTTTTCATCAGACGTTGCAGATCCTCACTATATCGTTTCTGGCTTGAAAGATAGGACAAGGCAAGAGATATGTTGACAAAAGTCTTGGAGGCAACTCCAAACGATGTTGAAGTTTTGTGACTGTTACTGAAGCATTGTGACTGTTACTGTTGCTTAGTCACATCACATTGCTTCCAGTATTGCTTAGCGAGATTAGGGACTGATAAGGCTAGGTAAGCATGTAAATGTGAAATGTTTGAGTCACATAGCTTCTTCTTTACTGTTTATGTGACTTTCAATTACAATTTGCAGAATCGCTTTTGAACAAGCGTTGGAATTGCAAAATGACAATGTTTGTGCTCTCTCAGCACTTGCCATTTTGGATTACAATACGCATACTGTCGAGGGAGCCCAAAGTGCAGTGGCTTGTCTAGGCCAAGCGTATAGTCTGGAGCCGGAGAATCCGGTTGTCTTGGTCCATCTTGCCAACCACTTCTTCTTCAAAGGAGTCAGTGCAGAAATTCTTTGAATTAATTACGAATCTTATATATAAAGCTGAATGTCTGTCTGTCTGTCTGTATGTATGTATGTATGTCTGTACGTATGTGCGGAATAGAAATTTTTATTTCTGAACCGATCGGGACCAAACTTGGCACACATATACTTCGGGGCAGGGAGCGTGTCATAGGCTACTTTTCGTTATCGATCGATATCGATTTTATTGATTTTTTGCAAAATTCGAGCTAGAGGGCTGGGATTTGGCAGAGGGGGGTAATCGAGCATGCTGATCACCCCGAAGGGGGTGATCAGCATGCTCGATTACCCCCCTGTGCAAAATCCTAGCCCCCTAGCTCAAATTTTGCAAAAAATCGGTAAAATCGACATCGATCGACAACGAAAAGTGGGCTATGACACGCTCCCTGCCCCGAAGTGTATGTGTGCAAAGTTCGGTCCCAATCGGTTCAGAAATAAAAATTTCTATTCGGGACTACGTACACGGGTCTAGCTGGCAGGCCCGGCGGAGCCGGGCAAGCCAGCTAGTTATCTATAAAAGGGACCTTTTAAATTTGTCCAAGCTGTTACATCGAGGTGTTTATCGCTTTATCTGAAGGCATCACTTTTTCAGGAAATGAACAAGGTTGAACGGTTAGCGTGGCATGCAATGAGTATGACGGAAAGTGACGAAATCAAGGCCGAAGCTTGTTACATTCTTGCGCGGTTTTTCCATTTCAACAGAGACTATGAAAAGGCGTTCAAGGTAAGTTGCATATGCAAGAATTTCAATCCATGTCATCATCGTGTCGTAGTACTATTATCAAGCAACTACGTTGAATCATCCTACTTTCGTTTTGCCCCAGTATGGCCTTGGACCTCGGAATTCGAAGATGTTTGGATGAATATAGCTCATGTATATATCGCACTTGGACAATATGTCCCTGCTTTGCAAATGTGAGTTTATGGCGTTCCTCGCTGTTTTGTTTCATGTTGCACAGAATGCTTTTTTGATCTTTTTGTCATTTTCTTACCATGTTAAAACCATATGCTTATACTGTGGTGTTACAAGGTTCTTTTTGCAACTAGGAAATTAGTTTTTCTTTGAATATTCTTATCACTCCTAGTATGGTTTTTGTAATATGAATTAACTGTTGTACGTATGCTGGAGATAGATAGATAGATTTTTCGAAAGTTTGATAAATTTGAAATAAATGTCTTATCTCTTCGTTCTTTCTTCTATCTTCTATCCACAAACGCTAGGGGTGAGAGGGAGGGGGTAGAGTACGGGGTGAGGGTCGCGCTAAACTCCTACCCGGGGGGGGGGTCCTATTCGGCTTATTTGGGTGGGGTTTAGAGACAAAATTGGGGTTTGGAGCTTAAAGGCAGCGTCCAGGCAAGTCTGGACCTATGGGGATTTTACATGGAAAGTATTTTGGGGCCCTAACTAAGCCACTACCCAACCGGCAGCTCAAGTAGTGCTCTAACGCCTGAGATATTCTGCTCGAAACCGGACCCCGCGACCGTGTTTCGCATGGATTCATGGCGCAAAGAGTGGATCCTGGCGCGAAACTGCCATGAATCCATGCGAGTACGTTCGCGGGGGTCTGTTTCGAGGGGAATATCTCAGCCATTGGAGCACTACCTGAGCTGCTGCTTCGGCAGTGCCTTAGTTAGGGCCCCAAAAGTACTTTCCATGTAAAAGCCCCATAGGCCCAGATCTGCCTGGAAGCTGCCTTTAATTAGGGCTAATTACAGTATGCCGCGATCGGGGGGCTCCGGCGCACAAAATCGGGGGGCTCCGGAGCAGAAAATGGGAGGTATCCGGAGCAGAAAATGGGGGGTATCCGGAGCAGAAAATGGGGGGTATCCGGAGCAGAAGATGGGAGGTCTCCGGAGCAGAAAATGGGAGGTATCCGGAGCAGAAATGGGAGGTATCCGGAGCAGAAAATGGGAGGGCTCCGCCGGACAAATGGGAGACCCACCGCTGGGGATACGCCGCGACCCTGCCACTTCTCCGGCGGAGGGGTCCGATCCGCTGTCTGAGTGACCGCGGGGACCGCTTTTTCGGCGACTTATAGTGCTGTATACCCCTAGGGTGCGTATGTCACATCTAGTCAAGACGAAGGATCTCACCACGACTCTGCGTCTTAACCTCGGCGGCAGGCGTTTGAATTCAAAATCAGGGATCTATGGGGTGGCCCGTTTTCGACATTTTCGTGTTCTGCAAGCTGCATTTTCGGAATCAGAGGGAAGGATAAGCCCAGGTAAGCGAGGAAAATCTTGTATGAAGTTTTGCGCGGACGCTGCGAAGCGATGACGCAGTTTTCGCGTGTCAGTCCTGTGCTTTTGTAGTCCCATCCCTTTCCCCCACCCTCTCCCCTGTTTTTGCAGTCGAAAACCCTTGCAGCTCCTTAGAACGTACATATGAGCGCGGCGTACGCTGTGCCTCTTGACGTAATATAATAATACATAATACGTACATGTTAATGGCCAGACAGATTACTTTGGGAACTGGTAGCTTCAGAGAATAGTGTCGCAGAAGGGCAGTTCGGCGATCTTGAAAATGTGGACAACTGCCATTCCCCGAGTATATGTTTGAAGCTGTCTCATGCACTGAACAGTTTATCTAACACACTCAGCAGTTGCACATGAGATACTCTCGATTTTATGTGTAATGAGGATCGCCTTTAGTGGTCCCTCAGGCTGCTGTAATTTCCGCTTGTACGGAGGTGTTTCTTCCTCGTTGGTGCGTCATTTTATGAACATGTAGATTCCAGAATTCAACGATTGCTGGATATGTCCTACGACGTCATATATTTTGCGCCAACCAGCCGTGATTGGTTTATGCTTCTCTAATAAGCTTAGAAGGCAAAGTTCCATCAAAGCGAAGTCGCAGTAGGTTTAAGTAAATTCCAAATATTCCAAACCAAACTTTTGATTTCAGGTAATATCGTGCTTTCATTATTTGGTCGAGATAGTTTATCTCTATGCATATTTCGAAATTGTTGTCAAGAGAGGTCCTTCAAATGATACTGATGAGGACGCGAGTATGATTTTTTCAGCCCCTTGATTGCTAATCATACTGTTTCGCGACTGACATGCCGTTATTTACAAAATGGTATGCGGGAATGCACGGCATGTGTCTTCGACGGTCCTAAAGTGCATGTAAAAACGGCAGGTCGCGCAATACGCTTTTCTAAAGATAAGCAAGAGCTGCATCATTTTAAAAACTCGACTATTTGCAGACTACGGACAGAAGAAAAACCGAAGTGTTTCTCGAATTCAGTATCCTATCGTTGCTTGCCGCAATGACAGGCAAGTTTGAATTTATATGGGCTGCCATATGGCTATAATATAAACATTCTCACAATAACATGACAACCTTTCAGCGATCGGGGCCACGCAATTTGCCCTGAACGCCGCAGCTGTGGAAGCAATCGATGACTGAGGCCGGCGCCATGCAATTGCTTGCAGCTGCAAAAAAACGAAAAAAGGAATAATATAGATAAAAGTGAGTAGAGAGCCTATTTTGAACTGTTTTGGTAGCTTAAAGAGCAAGCAGTTCTTGAACCTATTGGTGATCTATCCATATTGAGAGGAATGATGTGGTGTGATAAGACTGATGAATCTGGATTGTACTTCTAAACAGCCTATATGGATGCTTAATGAGCGACAGTTCATAAATAAGATGGTCAAAGCATAGTTTATGTAGATAGAGGGGAGGCCAACATTGGTTGCTCCTGATACAGTGACCAGCATTCGTGGCAGGATACCAGTTGTATTGAAATTACAGTTTATATATCACTCTCCATTGACTATTGGCGGCCTTTTTTTGAACTCTGATACAGCTACATAGCTTCCATTCAAAAGATTTTGCGGAATCCGTCTAGCTATCTCCATAGTTTGCTTGTGAAGAAGCTCGAATTCCGGTCATTTTAGCGTGCAGCCGTCGTGGGGCGTGGTATCGACATCGATTATGATTGGGTGCCGGGCCCGATCCCGCCAATCACCCTCAGCCATCGACTCGACCAACCAATAACATGTAAGTGGAATTGGAGAATCGCCAGAGATTCATAAGGCATTCCGGTATTTCAGCTTGTAATATTGTGAATCTGTTCCGAGTTCATTACGTGTGCACAATCATTCATAAACTATTCAAGCAGTAGAGGGCAATGTGCTAAACCTTTGCAGTCTGGATGTAGTGCTATTCCCGACAAATGCTATGCATCATATATGCGTATTGTTCGTTAAGATGTTTTCTGTTAAGGAGTGTGGTCGAGAAAGGACAACGAAGCAGTTTACCGGCTCGATTTCTCAAAGCAGCAGATCCACCGAAACATGTCGCCGAGCACCCACCACAGTTGTGTGATCCCAAGTCGGAATGTCCACAGGTTCCTGTTTTATCAAATCTGTCTTTTCATATTCTTTGCACAGCATTTCTACCAATTGTATTACTTATAAGGCTGCTCAATCATTTCTAAGTGGCTGATGTTTTGTGCAGTTGCACACGCTTAGGTTATGCAATGTTTTTTTTTCGTTTCCTACATTTAGGTCATAAATCCTTCTCAGATCTTGTCGGATAGAATCAGTGAGACATTAGCACGGTGTTCGTAACATTTATTGAGGAGAAGAATTGCAGCACAGTAGAAACCTAATTTCTCATATTTAAATGCATGTTTTGGAGATTTTCATATTTTGATACCCAGTTTTTACGGAAAATTAAATAAGGTATGTTTTACGCTTTTTTTTCCAGACCTTTCAAGTTATCCAAGATCTTGGTGATGGAAAGCACCGACAGTTTTATCTTCAGCTTCCACCGGGGACATCCATCGCCGACGTGCAGGTAATTTTATCTACAGAAGTCGAGGGAAGTGATGGAACTTATCTGGGACAGCTTCGAGGTTCTGAATAGAAGATAGTAAGATCGGTAGATCGCTGAAGACAGAACAGACAGTCGTTTGTCTGTCGACTATGACAGTGTTATTTTTGAGGGATACTAGATATCTGAAGAATGTTGGAGATGAGTATGGGGTCAGCTTTGCGCAGACTGTTTTGTCCAGCTTGCTGATTCCCTGGAGATTGCCTTCTTTGGAAGGTTTGGGAACTTCAAGCAACTTTTTTGTGCCTGTAACACCTATGATCACCTTGAATGGTCATGAAGCTGGTCTTGCTTATCCAGGCTTTCGATCGACGTTTTGAGCACTACTCTTGTATCTACTCTTGCGACACGCTCACCCAAATAACTACATACATGGGAGAAGTGAGCGCTGATTAGTCGTGTAGTGTTCTTGGTAGATCTATGGAAAGTTTGGGCCATTGCAAGTTTTCAAACATGCTAGCCGCAGCGCGGCCTGTAACAAGTTCGTTTCTTTTCTATTGAACTGAGAAAGTAAATTATATATACTCTAGGAATGGGCGCGGGGTTATCAAAGTCGTATCGCCAGTATGGGATGAGATATTGTTAAAGGCGGTGTCCGGTTCCAATTTTCAGTTCACGGTTTTCCCTACCTCAGTTTATTCGTTGTGCTGGTCCCAGATACAGAGGCGAAGGCGAAAATGTGCTCGAAAGTATTTGAATACAGGCTAGTCGATACCGCCAAGGCTAGTCGCAGGGTCGTTGTAGGACCCTTGTCGTGACATTGCGCGCGCACTGTGGCGGAGGAGAAATCTACCTGAGGCAGGTACTAGACTTATCTGCTTAGTCGCTTCATCTACTTCGTTGATTGGACAAATCAGTGAAACCCAGTCGCGAAGGGGCTGAGTGGCTAGCGGGTAAGCCAGAAGGGCTAGCTTGGGCGAATGTGAAGTTTTCTTCTCACTTCAGACTTCATGTCTTCCCCCCTGGCTTGGGCAATGGCTCACATAGGAGGCCCTCGGGCCTGTCGTCATGTAATCTTTAGACCCCCAACCCTCCCGGACACTGCCTTTGGGAGCAACGTGAGAAAGCTCTTACCTTAATAGCAGTTGCCATCATACTGATAGGCAAGCAGGAATCCGAATCTGTTTCAGCTTACTCAAGCGTTAAACACCATCACTCCAATGCAGTTCGTCACACTGACGGATTCCAATCCGTTCTCGGTGCAAGGGAATGTGTCCAACTCTTCTGCTACTACATCTCCAAGTGTAGTCTACGCAGGTGAGCTATTGAAGCTATTGTGATACGTAGGCATTTGTTGATGACCGATTGACCAGTGTTGTTTATTACGCATATTTGTGTTAGAGGTTGTCCGCTTATAAGTTTTGTGTGGGTGTGATAGGCTACAAGAGTGTGAGTATTGTTCCAGCTTCTACATCATGTTCTAAGCCAAATGTCTCCCATAATTCTACTGCAATGCTCCAAATAGCGGAGGACGTAAGTTGAACTGTCTGTAGAGTACGCTTTCAGTGATTATTTGTATATTGCAGGAGGAGATCTCCAATGAACCTACTTACATGGTAGTATCAGCGCCTGTAGCGAAGGAAGAGGTACAATAAGAGATAAGTGCAGAGGAGTAAAATTGATTGTGTTGTTATAGGAACCGTTATACGTGAATGCTCGACAATATAACCGTATACTAAAAAGAAGAGCAGCGAGGCAAAAATTAGAAGCGGAAGGAAGATTGCCAAAGAAAAGACAAGTACGTTTTTGTCAAAGTTACAACAGTTTTTATTCAAATGATATATTGCAGAAGTACTTGCATGAATCAAGACATCAACATGCACTCGCAAGAGTACGTGGAGAAGGTGGAAAATTTGATAAAGGAGGTAAGATATCCAACTCCAATCGCTTGTATCAGACTAATTGATAGCAGGTCAATCAACCACATTTGGTGCGTAACTCTGTAGCATCTCATCCCAGTATATCGAGCACAATACTGTGACTTTGTCCTTTACTCAGATCGCATAAAAAACTTTCAGAGATTTGCTCTTACCAGACAACATTTTTGCGTAATATTCACTTTCATCAGAGTCCCAAGCGCCTGGTTACTGTCGAGGCGCGGCTGTTTATGAGCATAAATTGTTGGTTTTCGAGGACCTTTTTTATTAGTGTTGCTCAATTATTGTCGCAAATTGAGCTTCCTATAACTATTTCCACTTTCTTAGATGCCTTGTTCGCAGGGAATAAAATTCCATCAAATGGAACTAGTGCACCTTCCCCAACGACACCTACTCCTCCAGCTCCTGAAGCTGTCTCTGATGTAGAAGCAAATCAGAAGCGAACACGCTTTCTTCCTATCCGCGAGCTCAAGTAGGTTTTCTATTTAGGTAACTTTCTGCTTTTGTGGTTGCTTGTTGCAATTTCGATATTGTTTGTGTTGTTTTGGGACATTGTACAGGAGTTAGTACCTAGGGCGTGAAAGGCAGCGTCTGAGCAAGCTTCACACATATAGTTGTTTCTCGTAAATTGTTGCGGGGATGAGGGCAGAGTCCCCATCTGTAACCCACGGTCAGGGAACATAGTGAAGATGCATTTTCTTCGCTTGGATGTTGAATGAGTGGTATTGCAGCCAGTCAGCGGACCAGCATTCAGCGAGTAGACTAGGCTTACACGTTTGAAGAATTCCTGATCGAACTCTACCCTTCATTTACCATCTCACGTTTTTTAAAAAGTATATGACATCTTCAAAAGCTCTGTAACAAATCTATAGATTTTACTTTTGAAAATAGGCAAGACAACCGAACTGTCTCAATCTTGCCTTCAAAAAGTACGGCGGATCGGCTCAAGCTTTCGGTCTAATTTTGTCTGAAGCTTTGTGAAGGCTCGACACTGCCTAGGTTATGCGAGTAATCATTTTTCAGTCAGTTAGCTTGAATACCATAGTATCTCATTGATGCTTGCGTCAGTTCCGTCACCAATCCTATCACTTGTCTCTTATGATGAAAGTATCATGATACCTCTCCTTATTCATCTCAGCTTCACTTTATTTCTTCGAAATTCATGTTTAGGCCTCCAACAAATGGAACCGTGCCCAACCCGTATGCGAAGGTTAACGGTGCGGATGGAGAGGAAGTTTTTCAATAGAAACATATGTGATCTTTGACTATTTGCCAGTGTCCATCCATTTTGTAAAAGTGCTCATCTGCGCTATCTGTGCTTTTTCATTTACGTATAGATGAAATTACTTATCAAGGGTAGATGTAAATATATGTTCTGATGTTACGTTGTGATGAGTTAATTTTCGAGTAACTAATAAACTTACTCCGCTTCTGTCTCTTATTGCCACTTGGTCTTGAATTTGAGCATTCTTCCCGTCTATAAAAATAGATTTTCCACTCTTTTGAAATGTTCCAACGCATGATCCATTAGATAGCATGGAGTTGATACAGGGGACTGCATGATCGCGAGAGTCGGACGTGCGTACGGTCGTTGCGTCGCGCACGTCTGATGTCTGTTCAAGGCCCGGCAAGCGTTGGTTTAGAGCAATTTTGGGAAGAAGTTCCCCATGACCGTAAAAATTTACGATTTTTATTTTGACGTAAAAGTCAGCAGGGGAACCCTTACTTAATCAACTTAACGATCAAAAAGCGAAAAAAGCGCATTTCGAAGTGCCTAATATAACAAAAAAGCAAAAAAAAAACATCCGAGTTGATTAAAGTCTTCGTCGATGAGTATGGTACCATTTTAGTGTTCAGAATGTTGGAAACCTCTTAGGCCAACCAAATCTGTGGCCTCAACAATCTGGCGACGCCGCATACTTCAAAATACACCGCATGTGATTGGAGCGCGATATCTACCAGTGCTTAGGTTTACACCATTTTTGGCTCAAAAGAGAGGAGAGGCGATGGTTTGATTCGCTTTCTTCACTGTATGATAGTTTCTTAAGCGTTCTAATCGTCCAAATCAAAGACCAAAGCTTATGTGAACTCTCCGATATTTATGCTCCAAACCAACCCAGTTCGTTTGGTGTTGGTCTAGAAACAACAAATTCGGGTACGGGTATTTAGACACATAAGTTTCTGGCTTTTTACATAATATGGGTTGGAATAATAATGTATACACATAGCCCAAATTTGGTGTCATGTGATTGTTTGTGCGCTGTAAACAAGCCATTTGTTCGTTTGAGTCTTGCCTTTAAAATTCGCGCGCTTGCGAAAGAACATGTTCAACACGTAAAACCTAACATGCTTGTCGTTTTATTTTTCGGCGTTTCGCCCAGGACCTTATTAAAACGATATCCCCGTTGCCGTTAAAATAACATTTCTGAGTCGCACTAAAAATCATTTGTCACGATGTACCCGGCATAACTTGTGAAAGAAGCTTTACGGTTGGGTGCAAAACGAAGTCCGGTTTGAACTGAGCCCATCTGCGCCGGGCCCTGTGTCCGTTTCAAGACTCAAGTAGGTGCCAGACTTACCCTGTTCAACAGGTTCATTCGGTTCACCCTTTCTGCTATCGGTCAATGCATTCCAATAACGAATGAGTGAAGGGACGAACCGGTTAAACACAATTAGTCTGGTACCTGACTTAGTGACACTGGATGTGCGCGGCGCAGTGGCCATACGCACGTCCGACTCTCACGATCATTCAGGCCCCTATGTTTGTAGGAGATGAGCAATCATTAGAGCACCAGTTTAGAAGGAACAATTCAGTCCTACGAGGCAGTGGGAAGAAAGAAAATCAGTATGGAACGCTATGTCCAGCGAAGTGCATCGACTCGGCGGGATGTACATTCTGTCATTTATGTTTAGGCTAGTACATTTGACTCTTAACATAGTTCTTTGCGCGGCTGAGAGTGGGCGACAAAATTGGCACGTGAACAAATAGCTTTGCCTAAAATGCCGATTGTAGGGGAGTGCTCGCGCGCAAATTTGCCACCTCCTTGGCACCGCAAGGACAGAATATTAAGCGTAAGGTGCATTAGCCTGTTCTTTCTTCTGCGTTGGAAGTGCGCTTCCACTCGAGGGCATTACTTGCGGACTTCTAATTCACGAGGTCGTAGGTCTTGTGCATTGAAATCGATTCGATTTCAATGCACAAGACCTACGTACGCGAAAGTGGCGCAGCTTGGCACACTTCATACTTGATCTACTCAATCCACTTCACGGGGCTCAATGGTTTGACCAGTAGTGGAGTGGATCAAGACGATAAAGTGGATTAAGTTTTTCGTGTCTCTGACGTGTCGACTGCGCATCGAAAGGGTGAGGGATGTCGCGATTAATACAGCCTGTATTGAAAATGGCTGGAGTTCGTATTAATGTTTTATTCGTTTGCCAGCATGAGAATTATCGGCTGGATTAGGCTTATGTGTTGAAGTTGTCAGTTTGAGCAATTTAGACTAATAAAATCGATAATTTTTTGATGAGCTAACATCAACCTCCTGCCCTCCCCGTATTTCTCGTGCATGTAAATGTGAATTTTGAAAAGCAGCACCATTCCGTGGGAAATTTGAGGTGAAGTCTGTGCCCTATCTCTATTTACGGCATACCGTAGATACCGTAGCACTACATTACAGTATCCTGAGCTCGGACCACTCTGGCTAGAGTTTCGCCAAGGTGTCCCCAATCATGTGTCAGACGTAGAATTTCATCGTAAACTGGGAAAGCTAGAGCTTCAAGAATCTTACGAAAAAAACAAGAAAGTAAGACCTAATCATCGTGTTTGAACTTCCTCTGAATTTTTTGGGATCTGCTCATCTTTCGGAGTTTGGTGGCAGCAGTCGCCACCTTCAACTTCAGAGATCTGTTTTACCTGTGCGAAACGGGTTGCTTCTATTTACTGCCATTACACATTAAGCTTATGGTTCTTTGTAAGGGCCGTTTTGTTCGTTTCGTTTTAGCAATACAAACACCTTTGTGGATACATAGTTGAACCACAAAATTAACAGTCAGTTACAGAACAGTGACATTTATTTCGCCAAAAGCCACATTGGTTCCCTGTACAGTTGCAGCGGTAGAATTTGTCCAAAACTGCGGGATTGTCGGGATTCGCGGGATTGTCGGGATTTGCGGGATTCGCGGGATTTGCGGGACTTGCGGGATATAGCTATAGCTTCTTTTGAATCCGCTTTATTTGCAATCTGCGTGTAGATTTGGCTTCAGTTTGATGAGACGAATCGTTTGATATACAGTATGTCCGTAATTCATGGTGAGGCGGTAGACTTACAATGACACCTTCTCAGACAATCGCTGGGGGAAGGCGGGCACCGGAAAAATAGATTGCTGATTTCTCGCACCCCGCTCGCGGATTTTTTGCAAAGCAATCAGGACTTTTAGGAAGACCGCTTGCTGAGTCAGCGGATTTATGAGAGACCGCCTGTTGAGTTTTTTTCGCTCTTATCTTTTGCAGATATATTGCTGAATCTCTGAGAAATCGAGAACTCAGCAAGCGGTCTTCCGAAAAGTCCTGATTGCTTTGCAAAAAATCCGCGAGCGGGGTGCGAGAAATCAGCAATCTATATCATATCATTATGTCATCTATAATCGCAGACAGTATATATAGCTTTGACTCTCTGAGCACCCCTCAGTGATGTCCGTCACAGTCGTGCGGACTACTAACTTCACGGTGGACTGAAGGTTGGTGACTTCACTTCAGATTGTTTTCCAGTACGTTGAGCCTAGACAAGGTCTAAACGTCGCAAGTTAGAAGAGGCGTTTTGGTCGTATAGACTGACGAATACAAAACTGCAATCCCTTTCTGGCCTCCGACGAAGACGATACTTGTCGAAATGTTAGGCAATAAAGGTCCACCATAAAAAACCTCTCTGCCACAAAATCAAAAATACAAAGTCAACTACAATACCGCTCATAATTCGTCAAAAAAGTCGCCGAACTGCGGCGCACTCCGCCACACCCCGCCACAGTGCGCCGAAGTGTGGCAGAGTGTGGCAGAGTGCGCCGGAGTGCGGCAGAGTGCGCCACACTCCGCCGCAGTGCGCCGGAATGATCGTCAATTTAGCCATATCTCGCTTCAGAATGGACGAATTCTGAATCCGAGGACACCGTTCGATTCAGCTCGACGAGACGCATCATCTTATATATGAAGCTGAACTTCTGTTTGTCTGTTTGTCTGTACGTATATTAATAGAAAAATCCATTTCTGAACCGATCCGGACCAAACTTGGCACACATACACTTCGGGCGCCGGCGGATGTCATAGGCTACTTTTCTTTATCGATCGATATCGATTTTATCGATTTTTAGCGATTTTTTTGCAGAGTTCACCTATGGGGCTGGGAGTTTGCATAGGGGGGTAATCGAGCATGGGGATTCCGAATACAATATTAGTTTTCAGATTATCGATTATTATTATGGTTGAATTCAGTGTGCTGATAACAGTATTACCATTGATCTGTCGCTGATGACACATAGACAGTATACTATAGGAGTATGGTAGAGAGCCGCTCTGATCGAATTTGTTCTAAGATCTGCTCAAGATCACAATACCGCGCACAGAATGTCAAAATTTCCGTGAACTTCGCGGAATTCCGGGATTTCCACCAAAGTGCGTGATATTCCGGGAAGTTCGCGACATATCAGGATCCGCGAAACCATGCGAATCACGCAGAGAACGCAACGCCATAACTTCCTTCGGAATGGATATATTCCGAATCCAGAAGCAGCATTGTGTTCAGATCGTCGAGGCAAATATTTTGATATACAGTATGCTCTCGATATTCCATTTCCAGTTTTTTCGACTTTTTTTCTGTGGAGGTCTTTTCGCAAGGATGTAACGCAGCGTCTGTGTAACATAAAAGATTCCAATAAGCACTGTTCGATAGTACTGTCCTTGTAGGTTATCGTGGGTTCAAGAGTAGCTGCAGACTGTCTCCCAAAAGAGACAGAAGCATTGGTGAATTTTGGAAAAATCACGCGTTTCTAAATTCTACTCGCCGTAACTTCCTTCGAAATGAACATATTCTGAATCCGAAGAGAGCTTTGTGCTCAGTTCATCAAGGCAAATCTTTCGATATACACCATATCCCTGATATTCCGATTTCAATATTCTCAAATCTTTCTGTAGACGTCTTTTTGTGAAGGTGTAAAACAGCGCGCATTGCTCCTAGTAGACTCCAGCAAGGACCTTTCGATAGTACTTTTTCTGTAGATTACGTAGCCCTAAAAAGTAGTCACAGGCATCTTTCCATAGGAGTTAGAAGGGCTGGTGAATTCTGGAAAAATCATGTCGTTCTAAATTTTTCTCAACGTAACTCTAAAATATGAAGCTCTCTTGCTAAGCAGATGTGATTTTCGTAATCAGCAGGTCGGAT